GTATTGCCAACCTCTGTTCTCCTTTCTGCACTAGATACCTACCATTGTGGACTACAAAGAAGTATTGTCAAACATAGTCTCACTGGAGAGAAGAACTCTTCACCTTTACAGCTTCATCTGTGAACTGTCACTCTTAAACACAAGCCTTTGCGTGTATTCCCCAGCTCGGTTGGCTGCTGCAGCACTGCTGCTGGCTAAGATACTCCACAGGCAAGGTAAGGAACCTTACCTTAAGTGGAGCTCCAGCATGGTATGTCAGCCTACCTTTGCCTTTTTAGGGACCCTTTAGGGCTTTTTTGGTGTAACTTTGTCTTTAAGCAAGATGTCCCAGTCGCTTGGCTGGGGGAGGTGGGGGAAGAGGAGGACAAGATATAAGACTGCAAAATGAAGAGTTGGGTTCTATTTTGCCTCTTAATAGCTATGACAAACGAGAGTATTAGCATCAGACTATGCAATCTTTGTGTTTAAATGAGATTTCTATACTTAGGTTTACCTGCCAAACTGAAGTTATATCTATCCTTGAAGCTAATTGTGAACTGAATGAACTATGTACAGACATAAGCTTGTAAAGACTGTGATCTTTATTCTGTAAAAATAAAATCTGTCTGATTACAGAACTACCAAGCTTCATGAAATGGTAACATGTATTTTCTTTTCCAGCACGCCCCTGGACCAGCCAGCTGTCTGAGTGCACCGGTTTTTCTCTTGAAGACCTGTTGCCCTGTGTGCTAAGCCTCTACCAAAAGTGGTAATAGTTCTGGAACTCTTCTGGGAGGGCACATGAGTACTTGGATTCTAGTTGTTGCAGCCTGTCCTGGTTCAGCCAGGATAGATTACCAATTTTTAATGTGCAAGGTTTAATTCTTGCCGGGATGAGAGAGCATGTGGCTGTTGCCCCTCCCCCACCCGCACTGGTCGGGCTGGAAGTTAAACACAGACCCGGGCTAAAATAACAAGAAATTTAATACAACAGAGTGATAGAACAATCTGAACAGCAACAGTATCAATGGTAACAACAATAAACAGCAATAACAGTGAACAAGACAAAAAGATATACAGAGAAATACCGCTAAATGATCACGGAGCAAACCCGCCACGTGTATGGCAAAAACCAACACCAGAAGCCAAAGTGAAAAGGCTCTGCCCCTGGACCTGACGTCAGCATGGTATGAATAACCCGGCTGGAGATCCCTTCCCCCTCTCTCTCTGCTGGGGAAAACTTTATCCTGGCTGAACCAGGACACAGCCATGCTGCATCAATAGAGTCAGCCTAGTGAAGGAGGTGGCTTTGGGAAACTGCCTTGCTCTCCCCACCACAAGGCCCTGAGGCCTGGGGGCCAGCTCAGGGACAGCTATTCTGTTGCTCTCAACTGGTAGGGGGCCACAGAAAATGTGATGTTCTTCAAGGCTTAACAGGTTTCAGCTTGACAAATTCAGAAGACTGCAAATGGCTTATTGGTGAGCTTCAGAAGGAGTTCCAGTAGCAACGTAGCTCACTTCTGAAAGAGTACAAGGCAAATATCTTGTTTACCTCAAAGAACAGGAAAGGAGTTAGATGCACCAATAGCCCTGGCTGGCTGCTTAGCAGCTCTGCTGACACACCAACTTCCCTAGCACAGAGCTGAGATGGACAGAGAGAAAGTATTTAAACTGGCATGTTTTGTTAACACTGTTTCATGTAATCGTTCTTTCCAGTTTCCATGATGATGTCCCAAAGGATTATAGGCAGGTGTCCTTAACTGCAGTGAAACAACGATTTGAAGATGAGCGTTATGAAGAAATAGGCAAAGAAAAGGTGGGTGAGCTCTTTGTCTTCATTTGCTGCTGTCTGACACCCAGAGCAAAACTAGCATATGGCGGGATGTGTAAGCTTCAAATAATGGGAAGTGGGTTCTAACCTTAGACTTTTAGAGGAGAAAATATGTAATAAAGTGGTAGTTTTAAATTTGATAGGCAGGGAGTATAACTGCTCTGTTTGAGTACATGTGGGAAGAACTCACTGGGATAGATTTCTCCTAGAAAATAAAGACAAATAGCCTCCTTCTGACTGTTTATTCCTTCTGGGAAATTCATGGTCTCATTCTTACTGGCTCTGATTTTTTTTTTTTTTTTTTTTTTTTTTTTTGGGTGTGAAACAGGGGGACCCAGAGCCCAGTCTCTTGCACACGAACATGGTGGAAATTCAGACTTTCCTTAGCTCCCCTGCTGGAAAAAGAACTAAAAGGCTAGTATAACTCATCACTGTACATGTCTGAAGATTAGCATGAGCCTTTCTTCCTCTCTGGTATCCTGAGGTTTCACTTTTAAATATGATCAGTTTTTCTGTAATTACCTTGACATACCTATTAAAAGAGCAGGAAAAGAAGACTTGGCTTTTAATGTGCAACTTCTGGATTTTCTTGCTACAGGAGGAGGGAAGACAGCATTCAGGATGACAGAGGCAGCTTTGTGACTACACCCACAGCAGAGCTATCCACCCAGGAAGAAAGTCTTCTAGATAACTTCCTAGACTGGAGTTTAGATTCCTGCTCTGGTTATGAAGGTGATCAGGAAAGTGAAGGCGAGAGAGATGGAGATGGTGAGAGTTTTATTCTCCTTATAAAAAGACAAGAGAATTACACCTGTCTCTTTCATCTTTGTTTAAAACTTCCTCAGGCACCAGAAGCCTGAACTTTTCAGCTGAAGACCAGTTGGGAAAACTCTCTCCCTTCCCCAGTGGTTATAATTGTTACACTATTTTAGAGGTATATATCTGTTCTCTTTGTATATACTGCTTCAGAATACGATGAAGGGTTTTCTAGCTGCTTAGCATTTCAAAGTGAGACTGCTTTCAGGTATCGCTGGTAGTGGACCAAATGTGATGAATGCCTCCCTGTGTTAGAAACAGTTTTATCTGTTTGTTTTACTAACTCTGGGACTGGCTGTTCAGTTTCTAAACAGCTCTTAGTATCCATCTAACAGTCTGAGGGGGGAAAAGTTATTGTTTTAAATGAGGGTTAACTTAGTGCTCTACCCTCCCCTCCATAAGTAGACACGAGGTTTACGCTCTTGTTTTTTTCTGCTTGATTCCATGCTGAACTTGGTTGCTGAAATCAAAACTGACCTTTTCTGTTAATTGTTCCTCAGTGACAGGTCCCAGTGGGATCCTGGACATGACGGTGGTTTACATGGACCCTGCAGAGCACTGCTGCCAGGACTCCAGCGATGAAGACACCTTGACTGTGGCGTGGGTTGGGCACGCGCTACCACTGAGGGACCCAGATGACGCTCGCAGGCTGTCGGCGTATCTCAGCCCAAGAAATTCTAACCTGGAAGGGAGCTCAGGCTACTCTTCTGTCAACAGTGCCAGTCCTACATCTTCTGTCGAAGGCAGCCTTGGAGCATCCCTCAAACCTACCTCAGCACTGTCCCCCGGCAGTGCCATGAACAACGAGCTGTGCCTGCCTCACTACCTGGAGTCATGTTTCCAAGCAGTCTGTGCTAGGCCTAGTGATGGCAAGTGTGACAGAAGGCAAGTCAAGCGAAAAAATGTGGCAGAACACAGTGAAGAAAGGGTCAACTTGGGTTTCTTCAGCCTCTGATTTCTTCATGCTCTTTCCTTTTCCTGGAAACAGTATTTCTGTTGTAGTCACGCAGGGATAATAGTGAATAATTGTCAATACCTCCAGAAAGAGCCTTTCCCCTCAACTTTGTCTATGTCTGTCTTGTAGTTCTGTAGCTCACTTCTGGACCATTTCTTTCCTTGATAGTTGCCTTTTTAAAGTATCCCCTATTGTCTGATTCTCTGCAAATGAAGATTCTTTTCCACATTAAATTTTATAGCTTGTTATTTGTTATACCTCACCAGTTATTCCTTGGTGATAAAAAAACCTTGTCATGTTCCTTGCTTTGCTGTGAGGCTTGGCATATAAAAGAAAGGAATTTACTTTGGTTCTTAAGTTACTGGATGTAACACTATGCTTGAATTCTTCCACTTGAAAGACCTTTTTTGAGGTTATGCTGCCTTTTTCTTCTGGCCAGGTACTGCCTCACTCAGCTGGTGTTTCCCACTAATATGTATATACCATTTGCTGCACTGATATAAGGTTTTTACGGATATAATCTAGAGGTAAATGAAGGCTCACTGCAGGTCTGAGCTTCTTTTCTACCTACCTCTCAGATGGTTTTCATCCCCATTTGCCTCTGGCTCTTTGCTACATTTTCCTCACCTGAAAAATCCTTCTGTGCCTTAATGCCTCACTGCCCAGTACTACAGTAATGTGATCTCTGCAAGCTGTTTGTCTCTGCTGGAACACTGTGGCTGAACTGTCACCTCCAGCCAGTGGCTTCATTTCATTTCCTGTCTCGCAGTCTTCCTTGCTATTTTCATTAATGTGTCCTCAAGGAAAGCACACATCACTTGAACACTAGAAACAGGCACTTAGGACAGTTTTGTCTTTCTGGCTCCTAATTTGCAAGGGCAGCATATCCTTACCAAAAATGAAATCTGTGCTGCTTTGGTAACAGTTTGAAGAAACCACCTGCACTGACCTCAGCCTAGCAAGCCTAGGTTAAAGCTGCTTCAGCCTGTGAAGAGTAGAACAGCCTTCTCCTTACAGACAAGCAGTGACCATTGAAATACCAAGGTACAAGACTTCCAGGAGATGTCACTGAATTGAACACTGGAACTGAACTCCATGACTCTCTGGTTAGAAGTTACTGTGGCAGATGGCAACAATTCATATACATACAGTGTAGTGACTCTTTATAAAATGTTTTTTAATATAGATGTCTCACTGTTTTCTTCAATGACCTGTTGCATTGACCTGGGGCTTGGAGAACTGATGGGATGTTTGGGGATGAAGTCAGAGTTTAGCTCTGAGCCAAGTTCTTGTGATGAAGTTGCAGCTGAGCCTACTGACAGCATGAGCAGCTGGGAGAACACCCTGCCCCCAGAGCACAGGGCTCAAACCCCCCTCACGACCCCCCAGCAGCTCCAGAAAGACCTTGAACATGGCAAATAACTAACAGAGCAGCTCTGGGTGGTTGTCCACAAAGTTTATTACAAAACTATGTCATACCAGTGTAGTTAAAAACAAAAAATCCCTGATATAGTTTTCCTGTTCCAGCCTTCACCCCTCTCCTGCTGGCTACAGTGCAGGTCTTCAGCTACTGCATATGACTTCCCATGCAGGAGTGTCTTCACATTCACTTGTTACAGCAGCAGCTCAAAAGTTGGCATTAGGTCACATTAAAATGGGAATAAAAGATTTATAAAAACCTCTCTCAGTTCTAAAACAAGTAGGTAACAGTTAAATATCTGCAGGAAAGGCCTCATGCTGCATAAAGATTTGAACTCCTTTCCTGTACAAGTTCTCTTGATCTGAAAGAAAAGGCACAAAATTCAATTCCTTCCCAGGAAAAGTAAATTAGGTGATGAGGAGCTAGCTCCATGTTCTAAGGACTTGCTGCTTAATCCAGGGGCCCAGGCTGATGCAGCACTGAACTAAAATTAGATCTGTGTCTGTATCAAGCCTCAATTTTTGAGGTGCCTCAGGAATAAAACAGCACCTGGGCCTAGAGAGCCACTACTTACTGCTGGAAGCAACACCCCCCAAACTACAAGCTACTTTCTGAAAAGGCAAAGCAAGAGATACAGCCCAGAGCCTCAGAGTTTTTTAAAAAAATGAAAAAAGGAACAGATTGCATCAGTCTGCATTTGTTAACACTTCCACCCCACTGCAGACTATTCACCCTTTGCTTTATTAACCCTTGTATTCCTCCAAGGATAAGTATTTCCAGAAAAAGTTACATGCTGTAAGTCAGGCTAAGCCTGGATTGGCACTGGCCTGGTCTCAACAGGGACTGCTGAAGGGCTAGTTCTCCCTCTGCACATCAGGAGCAGCCAGGGCTCGCTTGGAGAGATTCTGGAGACCAGTCAACCCTGTCCTCAGCTCCTGGAGCACTGCAGGTCAGTGGCACTGCGCTGCTCCTGTGCTCACAGGGGGATGAGTGCTCTCTGCTGCTGCAATCCAGACTACTGGCACTTACTCAGGGCACCATTTTGATATCCACAGAGTCATAAGCTGAAGCTTTCATCTTTTCCAGTGCCTTCTTGAAGAGTTGCCGCAGGGCCTCATAGTCAGGCTTCTCCTCATACTCTAGTGCCAGTACTTGCCGCAGGTAGCTCTGCAGGGCATCTGCAAAGCAAGGAACATCACTGCGTGGAGCAGCACAGCAGCCGCAGTTGTCTTTACAAAGCTGCCAACTGGCCGCCTCAGACCTACCCTGGCCAGCTGCAGAGAGGGGAAACAAAAGCAAAGGCTAATACTAAACTCAAAGACAGGATGGGGAAATGACCTCTAGCCCCAAATATTCCATTTTTAAAGCCACCAGAACACTTGCATCTCCAGCAAGGCTCATGAATACAAACAATGGGTAGCAGCCCTCCTTGTTTTGCTGTAAACAAGCGATTTGCTCACAGGAGGAGCCTGTCAACCAGTCCATGCAATACCTGCTCACCCTCGCCAGGGGAAGCCACCCCAGACTAGCACCCCAGCACAGAGGTGGTACTATCTTCAAGTGCAGTAAGTCCTCCCTCTTCAAATCCCACTGTCACAGATAGCAAGCCCATACCTGGAATGGATCTCTGCCTGAAGCACAGTTGGAGAAGGCATTTCACATCCCCTTTGTACCTGGAATAATCAGTGCAGAGCACCGTCACATGAGAAGCAACAGAGCAGGCACACTGTCTGTGGCAATAGGGACAAAAAATAAAAAAGGCTGAATTCAGACAGCCACATTCTGAATGGAGCAGAAATCAGGGTTCATCAAACACCCTATGGCCAGGCTCAGCATTTACAGTGGGATTTACCCACATCCCAACAGTGTACTATGACTGATTTCAGTCACAAAAACTCCCTCACTGCTTTCTGCCGAGCATTTCCCAAGAGAGTAGATGATTTTTCCTACTTTTCCTTCTTCTCCACCACTCTTTCTACTTTGTCCAGTTCATCAGACCAAGGCAAGAAGCCACAGAGCCATTTCAGAAGACAATAGCCCAACGATTCCAGGTCACTCCGTCGAGATGGTCCTAATGGGAAGAGAGATTTACATGTGAAAAAACAGTTTGGGAGCATCCCAGATGAGGCCCTGCTAGCACCTCTCTTCCAAAGGTAAGGACTCCAGCACTCACTGCACAACCTTGGAAGTCTCTATTTGAGGTGCCCCTTCTGTAAAACAGGCAGCCTCATGAAGGGACAAAAGTCTAAAGAGCAGAAGGAATGCAAGAACTTCATTAAGATGTGCTCTATGATAGCAATACTCCTGGGAGCCTAATTCACACAGTTGAAGAATCACCACACAGCCTCTGGAGGAAGATTTCCCAGTCTGAACACTGGGAGAGAACATTCACATCCCAACCAGGAGAGGAACTGGCTAATTTAAATGCCTTTCCAGCTCTCACTGCTTCAAGGTCAGAGCAGAGCCTGCTGCAAATCTGTTTTGGGCAGGGATCCAGTGTGGCTTCAAACAGATCTCTGCTAAGCCAGCACAAAGCAGCTCTGTTTTCTATTCCTCACAAGCCAGCAGTAGCCAAGGCTCCAGATGGAGGAGGAAGATCCCTGCACCTCTTGCTGCAGTCACTGAGAGACCTGGCAAGTCTCAAAACAGCAGCCCAGAGAGAGGCAAGATAAAACAACCCAGAGGAATTTGGGTGCAGGCGAACGCCTGGAAAGCAGCAGTAACAGAAATGCCAGCAGGGAGCCCTAGCTCCAGAGAGCACTGCCACAGTAACAGCTCTAGCTGAGCTTTGCTGGCATGTGTCAGAAACCAAGACTCACCTGCTCCCTTGTGGCTGTCCAGGCTGATAAACTCTATCGTGCCTTCGTGGGGGGTCCTGCTGCCCTCGCGCTGAGCCACATGCTTCCCTCCTGGGCAGTAACGGAACGCATAGCAATAGCCTGCTAGGGTCACCTAGAAGACATCAAGAAGTACACACCTGAGTGTGTGTGTGGTGTGAATTCTGCTTACAGCATTGCCCACAATCCTCCCCCAGAGCAGCTGCTCGGACTGCCCTGCTCCCTGCCCAGCAGCAGGGACCAGCCAGCACTCCATCCCTCACCACGAGCCCGCCCTCACTGCCGCTCCCTACCTGTGTGAGGTCTGCGGGGTTCAAATAGATGTTCTCAGCTGTGATGTCCCCATGCACATACTCGTTTTCATGAATGTACTCCAGGCAGTCTAGCTAGGAGTAAACAGAAGAGGCAAGCACATCAGAACCACACAGACTCCTTCGGCTGCTGACCCTCCCCAGCTCCCCACAGCCGCGTGAAATAGCGCAAAAAGTACCACATCTCACAGCCTCTAATCTTCAAGTGTCAGGTGTCTCATTCTCCCAAACTCCCTCAAGGTGACACACTGCTCAGAAGATGCTACCCAAGTTTACAACAGGCTTGAGAGATACAACTTCAAAGACCCCAGCCAACCCCCTGGATCAGCTTGAAAACACCTTTGAAAGATCTGGAACAAAGTTACAGGCCTTTTCTGAAGAAGTGTCTTAGACAGCATTGGTTCTCTACATACCAGCCGGACTACAATCTGAAAAGCTGCCTTCTCTCTCAGTAGGTGTAAGCCATCATTCAGGACCGACTGAAGAGTTCGCCCTAGGTCAGAGAACACCAGAAACCTACAAGAGACAAGGGCTTAGCACATAGCAGTACCTACCTGACTTGGAAACCTCACAAGAGACGCTCATCAAGTGATCCACCTGGATTAGAACCACCCCCATTCAACTCCAGGTTGACCTGGGCAAACATTTCCTCAACTTTTCATAACAGAAAAGTTCTTGAAAAGGATAGACATGCAGATGTACAGCCTGAGCCTCCCCTTCATGTTAAGCTTAAAAGGTACGAATAAGGTGTCCCCTGGCCTGAGGGACAGAAACAGCAAAAGCAGTGACCACCATCAACACAATGACTGAAGGAAGCAGGGTAATGAGAGGGGCAAACCATCTGTTATAATAAATGAGGTAGGAGCAGTGCATAAGGTTAGGAGCCCAGGGGACAATGAAAGAAGGAACAGCAGACAGCAAGGAGAGAAGAAGGAAAGCCCAAGATGGCAGCTGTGGACAGAAGAGCTCAGCTGTGCCCTTCGCAGAGTCACCTCACCTGTAGCTATCCGTGTGCAGTCCAAAGCCAACGCAATTGGGGATTCCCAGCAACGGCACAGAGTGGCACTTCTTCCACTTCTGCACTAGAAGGGGAGAGAAGAGGACAGAGTGCAGCAGATGCTGCTAAGGAGCTCCAGAAGAAGGGAGCTCGGTCAGGGATGCCCTTTTTCCAAAGGCCTGCTCTGCCCTGGGCAGCACACAGCTGAAAGCCTCTCACACCGATTCTGTCCCAGAAACACCAGCCTAACGTGCTGCCAACACACACAGCACTGCAGAGCAAGAGTAAGACAAAAAGGATGCTGGGAATACCAGAGCAGGCTAAGGCATGGGGCTGCTATAGGGCAAGGTAAAACAAGGAGGGGGAGAGAGATGGAGAAGATTTTTACAGTCCTCCCAAATGCACAGGTTTGACATGAATTCCTCCATCACCCCTGCCCATGTTCTCTGGTCAGCTTTACTCCTGCTCATGGTTTTGGATCAATAGAGTAAATATCAGACAGCAGCTGACAAACACCCGTGGAAGGGGCACAGAAGAGAGAGGGAGTCAAAGCAGGTCAGGCTGCAGGGCTGAACAGCTACCAGTGAGATCAAGACAAAGCAGAACAAGAAAGCTTCAAAATGCCAATACTGTGGTGTCCTAAGGTACACAGAGGCTCCTGGGAGAGCAGGCTCCTGACAAAACTTCTCAGCACTCTGGCACTATCCAAGCAGTGAATTATTCTACCCTGGCCTGCCAAGAGACTCACATAATTGAGGAGAGAGCAATGCCAGTTTTCCTAGTCCTTGCCCTTCCAGTAAGCACCAACCTGTGCTTGCCTTCGCAGCTCGCTGGAAGAAATTCTGTTCATTGTAGATCTTGCCATCTTTGACATCCTAAAGGGAACAGGAAGCAGGAGTGTTTCTTCAGCCTGCTAGAAAGGGAAACTTGGGCAAGATTGTTACAAAACCTTCACTACTCATTTTAAATAAAGCCACACTAACCCCACCCCACCCCCCAAAAAAATATCAAATACTAGATCAGGAACACAGCTCTGGTCTTTTGGTTTGCTATTTAATGCTGCGCCTAACAACCATATGAACTGTGAGCACCAATACAGAACGAGGGAGTGGCTGTCTCAAGCTGGACATTTCAAGCACTACCATTTACAACTGTCTGAGGCTTAAAAACCGCTGGACAATGCAGACCTCCCAGTAACCCAGAGTGAGCTCTGGCCCCAAAGCTGCTGTTAAAAGGAGACAGATATGACCTCCTTATCCACAGTACAGATGAGGTTATTTCTGCAAACAGGCAAGTCTCAACAAAGAGCTGTAACATTTTATTCTAGCCATCAGTAAGTGACACAAGTACAAAAGCCTGTATTTGTGACATTTAAGTGTCTGGGTAGTGTGCTGACATACATACATAAAATTACAATCCATATTTTTAAATCAGCACTTTTACTACTGCTGTTATCGAGAGACCTGGAATGCACATAGTTTACAGTCAATATATGTTTGTCTATGCACGTACATATTCAACATACTGCAGCCTAACTTGGGACAGATGCTCGTGTGCATGGGAGGAAGCAGCAGTTTTATATTCTATCTGCTTTGATACCAAAGGCTTTGCCCACAACTGGCCAAGTCAGCTAGAGGATCAGCAGGCTGCAGATAACACAAATGACCATGTTCCAGATCTTTTATTCTGCACCTTGCCTGGTGAGCCCATCTGAGCCACCAAACCCAGGAGCCAAAATGCCCTCATGTGCCATATCACACTCCACAGCCCTCTGCAAAGGCATGGGCTGGGCTGTCAGATGATTAACAACCAAAATGCCAGAAGATGTCTAAGTGCAAAACAGAGGAGCTGGGAGCGTTGCATACAGTGATTACAGTTTCCCACCTACTGGTTATAGTTTTGTGGCACTTAGCTGTCTTTTCTTATTAACACTGTTTCTCCATCCTCTTAAATGTCTCTTCTGACAAAAGGGAGAGATTTTTCAAGTGCCCACAAGAGTGGGCACCACCAGGTGTGTGTCCCCCCTGAGCCATTAGTCAGCACTGGTCTTCCCATAGACAAGCAACCCCCAACAGCAACAGCAGACAGGAAAAAAAATCTTTTTGCTCTGTTTTGTGAGTCACTGGAAACCAATCAACCAAATTTCCATTGCAGAACAGCTATTACTGGAATTAGTTTGTTTCTGGAGAACTCAAGTTACTGGCAAGTGCCTAGAAAGCTGGCTTGGAACTCCAACGATAATTATGTTTGATTTTAAAATGTGTTCTAGCCTTACAGAGCCTCTCAGTGCTGGTTCATGACACTACCTCAGCACAGCCACCAAGTTCTAACCTCTCCAGTTTCCCCAGACTTCAGCATGGTATGCACATACTTGCTATCCAAGAAAAACAACAAAACACAAGTCTAACATTAATGAATCTAAATCTCTATCTTACACCACCAGATTCAGTTTTGGAGATTACTGAGCTTAGTGGATTGAAGAGCTGGGATGAAGGCTTTTTCATTTTTTTAATCCTCATACCTATTTTCTTCACACTTTCAGTGGAAAAGCCAACTTCTACTGGGACCCAAACATGACTCTCAGGAAATCTAAGCTGGAAGCGGCCTCTGGGACCACTTTCTCTGAATTCCTCTGACACTTTTAGTCATACAGGCCAAATGGGTCAGGCCCTGGACACAGTACACCATGCACTATTCCTTACCCAAACAGATCAAAACTCACAAGTTTGAGGGAGTATCTTTGCTTTTGAGGGCAGGTTCCAGATGCTGACTGTGCTGTGGAAGGATGAAACAGATGTGGTTACAGGAGCAGAGAAAAGAGGTACATGCAGCGTCAGCTGCATCATTAAACACAGCCCGTGCAGCTGGCTTTTACTTAACCTCTCCTTCTTTCACTTGATCTTTGCAAAAGTATCCTTTGTGCCAGCATCTTCCTAGATTACTACAAAATAATTCTTACCTTGCTCCAGAAGCACAGCACCCCTGACATGCTTTGAGTGCAGTTCTGCTTAAGTCACAGAAGCATCTAGGCATGGCTACAGTAGTGGGGTGCTTTGAAGGTGGCATGTAAAGAACAAATCATTAGTAGAATCTCAAAGGCACCCCCAAATTCATGGGCTGAGCATTCCCTCCAGCTCACTTCATAGTTTGTCAAGTCTGTAAGACATGCCAAAGTCCTTTCTGCTCTGCATGGATGTAAGAATTGTATGTGGCCTCCCCTCTCCAAAAAGATTTGCACTATTACTTGGCCTTAGGGTAGCTCCTCTTCTACTCTTAGACCAAGTGCTGTACACAGGTCATCTGCTGCTCATCACCCAAAGGGTGTTTCTAGAAAAGCACTCTGCACTATAATAACAACATTGATTTTCTCTTTTTCCAACATCACATCTTTCAAATGACATAGGTGGATCCTCAGACCTTTTTATGCAACAGCGTAAGTAATTAAGAGAAACTAAAGCCAAATAACAGGAAAATCTTACTAATAGAGAAAATTCCTCCTCAGAAGTGTTTCCAAGTTAACAATGGAGAATAAGATTAAAACCTTTTCTTTGAAGTTTACATCCAGACTGGAAAAAAAGATCAGCAGTCACTAAACAGTTGAGAAGCAGCCCAAATGATTTAGCTGTTTTCTTTTGGCCCCCAAACCAGGTTGAGAATCCCAAATTGACACACAGTCAATACTGTCACCACCTACAACACTGGAACTCGGGTACGGTGCTGGCAGCATTTAGGTTTTGAACTTAAAAAACAGAAAGAGCAAGCGTGGCCCCTAACGATTTGCGTTTCAAGTAACAGAGTGGTCCAGCCTCCTCTCGATCTTATGCCAGTGCTGAGCTCCGCACTGGCAGGGCCGTTACAGGGCCGAAGACCAGCGTGGGCACGCCAGACCCGCAGCCCAGCCAGCCGCGGCCGTCCCGGAGAACACCGCAGCCTGCCATCCCCTCCGCACCGCGCCGCCTGCTCACGGCGAGTTCTGGCCGTTCAGGGACGGCCGACAGC